CCACTGCGGGCCAGCCAGCCCCCGACAGCAGAGGCAGGGTCCCCAGAACCTGAGCTGGAGACCACCGAGGCCCCAGCTCCACCGCTGGCTTCCGCACTGGAGGGCGGAACCCAGGTGGCCCCAGCACAGGGCCCCAGACGATCGGCAAGGGTGCGACAGCCCCCAGCGTACCTGAAAGACTATGCCACCTAGGGGTGGTTCCGGACTATGGGGGAGGGGTGTTGTGTCCACTGACTGCCACCAGAGGTCAGCGCATATACCCGAGCTTCAGTCTGGGAAGACAATGGGGACTAGGATCCTAGTCCCTCCATTGGGGAACCAATGGGAGCCATGGCGGGAGATTCAAACCCACCAATGGTGACCAAGGGGTGGTCCCCAGGTGTGTATATAGTTGGCCTGCCGGCCGTTTGTCTGCATGTCTTGTTGTGTGCCTAATAAAGCGTGCTATGCACCACGTTGTTGTCTGTCGTCGATCCATGCGGCTTCCCACTACACAATACCTCCTGAGTTTTAAAAGTACCTAGTGGAAGTGGTAGCAAACCGTGTGGAGAGCGGGTTGATTCCAGTTCCCTGATGTGTGAACACAAGCACTGTAAGGCGGGAACAACCCGCAGTCATTGATAATAGGCAGTGGCTGTTTCTGCGGCAGGCACCCATGCACCCATGCACATAGGAACATGCAGCGGAGCGCAGAAACAGCCGCTAACAGCTCACCAAGTGCAGGCCAACAGTGCGAATGCTCTCTTGTGCTTCCTCCATGGTATCCTCCTACTTTATTTGCTGCAGTGTGAACGGGAATACCACGACCAAGCCATTCCGGGTCTGTTCCGGGTCTTCCCTAGCGTCGCAAACTGCCAGTCTGAACACGGCCATTAAGTATCATTCAGTCAGAGGAACCATCTTTCCAACTTTAATCCAGTGGGTACACTGTTAACATGCATCTGTTCTCTTCCCACAGGAAGGCACAGACAGGCCTCTGTAAGTACTGGAGCTGAATGCTGTATTCAGCTTTTTTGCCAATACATCACCAGTTAGGAGTGACCCAAATAGTTAATCTCATGCAATTATTCAGTTTTTTTACTGAATGTTGCTTCGCATGTGCTCTGCACAATAATACACTTTCCTGTCCTTCCTGTTTTGTATATACATGTCATGTTCCTCCTTGCCCTTGCTCTAGTTGTACTCTCGTTGTGCTCATGTGGATATATTTCAGCTGACTAAGAACAATTCTTCATGCTTCTGGCAAAGTCAGCTGAGAATCATGAAAGCTTCTGACACAACAAAATGTGTTAGTCTTTAAGGTGCCACAAAATTCTTTGTTATTTTGGCTGCTGCAACCCCTTTGGAATGTATCATTAACACAGGCTGCAATCCGACACACAATCAGACCCGACATAGGTGCGAATGCCATGCAGATTTAAAGGGAAGCATCCCACAGCTGTTGGCACCCCATTCTGCTCCACCGCAGAAGTGGAGTTAAAAGACACCGGGGAAAATCCGGTAGAAAATGAGTTGTGACGGGCTACAGATGGACTTTCTCCTGTCTGATTGCTCCAGTGCGCTCTCAAGCCATCAGGATGGTCTGATCAGGCCATCCTGACTCTGTGCCATTATTCCCCCCCCTTCTCAGTATGTGCATCATCACAAACTCCATAGGGACCCCTCAGTGCAGAGGTGCGATTCATCAATTCCTCATTTAAATGCATGGGAAACAAATGGGGGGGGGAAAGACTCACCTACAGTTGCGTCTGATTACACACTGACAGGCTTCACCTGCAGCTTCAAAAGAAGGTGTGATCTCGCAACTGTGGATCAAATTCCTCCGGAGAAAATAGCCTCACCCCACCTGCTTTATCTGGTGTGTGTTACCGCACTCATAGATCATTATCCCATATACCCATAAACATGCTTTGAAAAATTGATAAAATTCAGAAGTGCAGACTATAGCCTTCTTTCTCTTTCAAACACATCTATACACAGATGAGGCAGATTATGCATGCCTCATGTGATGCATGCATTTGCATCACAACAAAGATTGCCCAGTTGGGCTTGTGGACCATATTTCAACTTATATATGTGCTTGTGAGAGAATGAGAAAGTGTGTCAGAGAGATTCAAATATATGAAACATTTCAAAATAATATAATTTAATGTATGCTGTTCACTTCTATTTCCAATATATAGCAGTAACACTACATTAAAGTGCAGTCTGTTGATGTAAGGAACAATCATACTTACTGCAAATGCTTTGGCTCTCATCTGAGTTATCTGCACAGTCATTCACAAAATCACAAAGATTATCCTTTGGGATACAGTATTTGTTGGCACAAGTAAATTCTTCAGAAGTACAATGTTTGACAGGGATCTGCAGGGGAGAACAGTCCTCAAAAGAAATATCATCCACTGTCACATCTCCCACATAACTGATGCCTCGTCTGGCCCTCAAGACAACCTGTGAAATGGGAGCAGGAATCTTAGTCATTTGTCCAGGTGAGATGCATCACCAAGAATTAGATAACCTTAATTCCTATCAATGTAAGTAAAAGTATTATTATAATACAACAAGGAACTATAACACAACAATGAACTGAATTATTGTGAAAATGGTTCTGGTGAGTACATCACATGAGAGGAAAAAAGAAAATACAATGGGCAATTCCACAAGCTAGATCTTTAAACTTACTTGACTTTCTTAGCCATAAATGCCTTGTGTGAGAGCTTCCTCAGTCTTGGGTTTCCCCCCCATTGCAGAACATTGGTAACTGTGCCATGTAACAGTCTTCTCTGTTCATAGAACTGCAAGAAGTCAACTAATCATCTTTAAATTTAATTGACTTAATGTTTTTTGTGAACAAAGAAGACTTGCGTGCTGCACAATTACCAGAAAGGAGGAGACATCTGAGCGGCTGCTGGCGAGATGGGCGCATGATGACGCTGGACGCTGGCGTAAAGCGGAGCCGGAAGGACGTTGCTGGAACCAGAGGAAGGCGTGAATCGTGCGACCGAAGGAAAGAACTGCCGCCGGATCGAAATGGAGCCCGCCGGGAACGAAGCGAAGCGCCGAGCCGAGAGCGAGCATGTCAACCCACCACCACAGGGGTGCCGGTAGGAAACCCCACCCCCATAAACTCTGTGGCCATAGTTAGGGTAATTTGTGTGACTAGCACCATATGTAAGCCGCTCAGAGACCCCCAGAGAAAGGGGGTTCGAGCGGGATATAAAATCTAAAGTTAAATAAATAAATAAAAAATAAATTGTTCTGGAATAAAAAAGCAAAGTAAAAAGGCTAGGGAAGCCGTCAAACAAAGCATTTGTGGCTGAGAAAGTCAAGGAGATTTAAAGTTCAGCTACTACACAGCCTATTTTTCACCAGGTCAGGCATTATGAGATACCAACAAGGTTTTGAGTTGCCAAAACAATTTTAAGTGAGGGAATAAAACAAAACTGTGCATACCTGAAAATAAGAACGGATTCCTAAAAACACTTCAGCTCTGTTCCACTGGGGACCCTGGGAACCACCCTGAGCCCACAGTTCAGAAGTCACATTTCCCACTTTGCTGAGCACCTAGAAAGCAAATAACTTTTCAAATGAAAAATATATATCTTGAATAGCAAGTAAGGCTTTGCAAATCACAAAAACTGCCTTTTAAATGAACTATTTTAAATTAGTTTATTTCATATTCAAATCGGAGAAAAGTTTATCAAACAATTCCATGCAACTAATCCAGCGAATTTTTTAGCATGGGATATGTTGTTGTTGAAGTTATACAATCTTTTATTCTAGGACAACAACCTCCTAACTCATGACAACTTCTGTCTCATTTCCACATGCCAAGTTTAGCTCAAACCCATCCATTAATGGCACAGAAGTCTATGGGGTGAGAATTCCACACAATTTCAGGATGCGTCTGAATACTAAAATGATACAGGCAGGACCAGTTGTGAGGATCCTTCCCTTTCTCTTCTGTTCATCATTGGACTCATCCATTCAGATACATACCACAATGGCAAAGTCTCTTGTCATGAGGAAGTGGCTCCCATGCTCCCTTTTGCATGAGTGAATGGAGCCTAAATTAGAAGTTAACATGAATTTAAACAGTGTGTTTCCTGGGAAGATCTGTGTGCCTTTATTTGTTCTTCATTCAATCTGGCTTAAATGATCATTGCAAAAAATAGAGGTGTTACCACAGGAGGCTATAGAGGTTGTAGAAAAACACAATAAGTGATAAATAACCCATGGTGGTCTGTAAATTGGCTTAGCTGAATTACTCTGCAATTCCTTATTCATATAGATGTGAATGTAATGCAGGAAAAGGATAGCCACCGTGGTGTAAAAACATATGAGTTTTGACTGTATAATCAAGTCTTTATCATTCTCTTTTCCATTGGTTTGAATAGCAAGCAATGACACTGGCCCTGAACTCATATTGATTTATGTCAAAATATAAGTAGAGCAATCTTTATTCTGTTACTATAGTTGTATTCATTTTTTGAAACTAATTTTAGTTTAGCAGTTTATGTCCAATTGTTTGTATAACAAACTTTTCCAGTTAAATCCTGTAGTTCTAAGCAGGTCTACTCAGTCCCATGTTATTAAGTGGGTCTTACTCACAGGAAAGTGTCTTTAGGATTACAACCCTTGTGTAGTGTGACATACAGAAGGTGCATTCCTTGTGAATATTCACTGAATTGTGACGGGCCCTTCCCATGAGCCAAAACATGCTTCACTGAAGCTCAAGTGCCTGAACAGAGTCAAACTGACAACATCAAGAGATCGGAGTATAGTGATGTATATCAAATCATGCTTCTAGACAGTACTGACAGAACTATAGATCATCAACTCTCTGAAACGCTTTTCCTCTCCAAGATATATCACCAGCAGTAATGATCCTCAATCTTGGCTGTGGGACAATCTGGAGGTTTTTCATTTTAATGGAAGAGATGGCACATTTTTTACAAATGATATTGTCTCCCAGTTGCATAAGTGACAAAATAAAAACTCCATTCCCCTTAAATGGAAAAGTTTTCTTACTATCAAACAAAACTACAGTAGAAACACAAAAGTTTCCTTGATGCATGCTGTTGCGGGGAGGGGAAGGGAAAGGAGTTTGTAAGCCGCTCTGAGACTCCAAGTGAACGGCAGAGTATAAATCCAATATCCTCCTCCACCACCTCCTCCTCCTCCTATCATATTTACAAATTACAGTAGGCATTTTTAGGTAAATTTTTATGCTGTGTAGTATTTGTGCTGCTTCTTACTGGACTGTGGATAAGGGAAGCAACAGGTGAATATCTTCAGGATGAAATTCACTCATAGTTTTTGTGATATTTTGGCAAAAGAGGCCTTAAAAATAAAGCCACTTGTAAGTTGCCAATCAACATTTGCCTGCATAATGATGATGACAGTGGTGTCAGAAAAACTATGACAGGGCAGGAATCACCAGCTGCATCCATGGAGTAATCAGTTCACAAGGATCTCCATATGAATGTATTTACTGCCTGAGCTATCGACTTTTGTGCTGTGCCAATTGGTCCTTAGAGTGCCAAGATAGAGGGCTCACTATTTTCAGACTGCCACCCATTGACATCAGAGATATCTCATAATGCATCTTAATCAGTTTTAATTGACAAACTAAGATGTTTTCCATGAAAGCACTTTGATTTACATCAGGTTGTCTTAAACAAAAACATCTCAGTTGAGCTAGGTTTTGGATCAGAGCTGTAAGCTTTTTACTTTAAAACATCTTTTCTTTCCAGGTGTGAAATGTTCTTTAATACTTCATACACATTATTATGCAGAAATTATTCTTCCAGATTTATTGCTACATATTTCATATACAGTGTTAACAGCCAATTATTTCTGCTTAATACATACTCCTTTCAGACTCTAAATAAACTTTGTCATATTTCAGTATAATGCAAATTTAGTTGGTTATTTACATGTAATTTGAGGGATATTAATAGTCGTTGCTTTCCAAAATTCAGAAAGCATCTACTAAAACATTCCCTGCTCCATTCTATATACTAAGAAAAAATATATAACTCACCGAAGAAAAACCACTATTCTATAAATTTTAACACTTGCTATTTTTTATATTGGAAATATCTGCCATAGGTAACATGCATTGTATAAAATACATTTCATAAGTATGAGTCAATATATATAGGTCTGTGGTCAAAGACCATAGTGAACGGTACTGGTACAATACAAAATCCTGATGCAAATATTATGAAATCGGTCCTGGCATCATTCAAGGATCATATACACACACACACACTCTATATGTATTTACCCCGAAGACTGTGGTTTTTTTTATATACCCATTCTATATATTGGCATTGGTCAGATCTAATTTTTATTCCATCCATACTTCCAGATATTCCAGGTCACCTAATCTGAAAAAGTAGGATTTTTAAAAACTATAATTAAAATAAAATTGACCTTCAAGATTCTCCCTGTTTCAGTTTTATTCTCACAACAAGAGACTGTAACATTAATCAAAAACTCTATTTTTACTTCTCATGTGTTTTACAGTACATTATGGCTATTTCCTCTGTAGCATATTTTCCTTGCATCACAAAGCTCCTAAACAGATTTATACCCCTCTAAGTAATTCCTTTAAAAATTGAATATTTTTAATAGAGTTCAAAATTCCCTCACTTTGCCCAACAAACATGTTCTGTACAACTGATGATGATTATGATGATGATGATGATGGAGGAGGGGGAGGAGGTGGTGATAGAAAGTGCTGCAAGGCACTGCCAATTTATGGCAACCCCTCATATTTATTTATTTATTTATTTATTTATTATCCTGCCCTTCCTGTCAAGGCAGGCTCTGTTTTTCCCTCTGTTTTTCCTTCCTTTCTGGCTGAACAACCCCTTAAGAACATAAGAACATAAGAGACGCCAATGTTGGATCAGGCCAAAGGTCCATCCAGTCCAACACTCTGTGTCACACAGTAACCAGAAATACCAGTGCCATCAGGAGGTCCACCAGTGGGACAAGGACATTAGAAGCCCTCCCACTGTTGACCCCCCCAAGCACCAAGAAGAAAAGAGCATCACTTGCCCCAGAGCCCCTATCTATACCTTGTGGCTAATAGCCACTGATGGACCTCTGCTCCATATGCTTATCTAATTCCCTTTTAGTGCTCTCTGGGGTATATATGGGGAAAGGCGGTCCCTCAGGTAGGTCGGACCCTGGCCATGTAGGGCTTTAAAGGTAAGCACCAGCACCTTGAAACGAATCCGGTATGCTATAGGCAGCCAGTGCAGTGACCTAAGCACTGGCTGGATGTGCTCCCACCGTGTGGAGCCCATCAGCAGCCTAGCCACGGCGTTCTGCACTAGCTGCAGCTTCCGGATGTGAGACAAGGGCAGCCCCATGTAGAGAGCGTTGCAGTAGTCAAGTCCTGAGGTGACCGTCACATGGATCACCATCGCCAGGTCGCGGCGGTCAAGGAAGGGTACCAACTGCCGAACCAGCCGGACATGGTAAAAGGCCGATTTAGCAGTGGCCGCTATCTGGGCCTCCATTGTCAGGGAGGCATCCAGGAGCACCCCCAAACTCCTAACCTCATGGGGTTCAAGGCAAGAGATGTTTGGAGGTGGTTTGCCTAGGCCATCCAGGTCAGGGCATATGACATTTGCATTGCCCCAAATAATTAAGCATTTCCAGTCCCAGCCCTATCAGTGACTCTGAGAAACAGATTGCAGGTAAGCATTTACAAATCTGTTCATCCAGCCCATTTGGAATGAATGGGTCTGCACTGGATATTCAGTATTTGAATGTACATTGTGATTGGTCAGGCCACACCTGGAATATTGTGTGCAGTTCTGGAAGCCTCACTTCAAAAAGGATGTGGAGAGAATGGAGCGGGTACAGAGGAGAGTGATGAGGATCATCAGGGGCCTAGAGACCAAGCCTGATGAGGAAAAGCTGAGGGACTTGGGAATGTTCAATCTGGAGAAGAGGAGGTTGAGGGGGAACATGATTGTTCTATTTAAGTATTTGAAGGGCTGTCACTTAGAGGAGGGCAGGGAGCTGTTCCTGTTGGTAACAGAGGATAGGACTCACAATAATGGGTTTAAATTAAGGACGGGAAGGTACCGGCTGGATATTAGGGGAAAGTTTTTTACAGTAAGAGTTATTCAACAGTGAAATCAGCTACCTATGGAGGTGGTGAGCTCCCCCTCACTGGCAGTCTTTAAGCAGCATCTGGACAAACACTTGTCAGGGATGCTCTAAACTGATCCTGCATTGAGTAGGGGGTTGGACCAGGTGGCCTATATGACCCCTTCCAACTCTGTGATTCTATGATCTATTCTGCATGCATTGTTCTCAATCCAGCAAAATCATTCACGTTTATTTATCTCTTTCTTTACATCCCACCAGGGGTCATTTCGTAGAAAAAGAGCTAGGGGGACTCATTAGCATAACTCATTAGCATATGCCACACCCCCTGACATCACCGGAAGTGTGTCCTCCTCACAGTCGGCGGCGACCTCCAGCGGGCACCAGCAGGGAGCTCCAGGCCCCGCCCTCCCGCACCTCACCCGGGGGGATGGCGTCCCCCCGCGTCCCCCCCAAATGACCCCTGCATCCCACCTTTCTCCCTAGTGGGTACCCACAGTGTTTTATATCATCCTGCTCTCCTCCATTTTATTATCACAACAAACCTGTGAAGTAGGTTAGGCTGAAAATATATGGCTGACTCAAGGTCACCCAGCAGGCTTCCATGGCAGAATGAGGATTCAAACCTGGGTCCCCCAGACCCTAGCTCAACAGTATGTGGCTTTTGAATGCATATTTCCCTTGCTAGAATCTGGAAAATCAACCTTTTTCATGAAGAAAACATTGAAATCAAGCAACCCCATCTTCCATCTATCATGGCCAAGTGAAAAGCTATGTAAATTAAATCAACGACATACTATGTGTATGAAACAAAGTCCTCCCTCTATGTAAGAACTGTAGAAGAAGCAGCAAAATTCTGCCAATAGCTTATTGCATTATTTGTTGAGATTTATATACTTCTTTCACCCTGAGGAGCCAGGATGGAGAAAAAATAGATTAGATCATATTTAGGAGCCCATAAAAATACAGTGAAAATCCAGGAAATAGTGTAAAACATAACATATTTTAAACAAAAACTTCAATTTCCTGTTATTCTGGCAAGTAAATTCACATTGAACAGGCTTACACAGAATTTTTTAAAATCTCAGGTTTGGATATCAAATATCTAAGAGCAGGGAATTCCATTGTCATGGGAAAACCTTGGAAGTATTTCTCTGTATGCTTCTCAAGTCACATCATGGAACTTAAGAAGAATCCTGCTGGATCAGACTAGTTGTCTACCTATTTCAGCATTCCATTTCCTATGGCGGCTGATCAGGTCCTTCCAGGAAACTCATGAACAAGGTATAAAGTCCTCCCTTGCTCTTAGTACCACTCCCATTATTTAGAAATACACTGCATCTGAATATGGTTAATAGCTGCTTTCTCTCTTTCACCCTCTCATTCCCCATCTTAGTCAATGGACCATAACAGAGAAGGTAGTCTTTGTTTTGTGCCTAGGTCAATGTTATTAGGGCCACAGTGGCTCAGAGGTTAAGACGCTGAGCTGCAGACCGGAAGGTCTGTAGCTCAGCAGTTCAAAACCCGAGTGCCGCGTGATGGAGTGAGCTCCTGTCTCTGGCCCCAGCTCCTGCCAACCTAGAAGTTCATAAGCAAGAAATTGCAAGTAGATAAATAGGTATCACTTTGGTGGGAAGTGTGCCTTGTGCCTTGGCATTTAGTCATGCCGGCCACATGACCATGGAAACATCTTTGGACAGTGCTGACTCTTCGACTTGGAGACGGAGATGAGCACTGCCCCCTACAGTCGGATTTGACTGGCTTTCAAGCAAAAGAAACCTTTACCTTTTTATCTTTACACTGTTATTAGTCTATATTACTTAATACACAATGCAAAGTGCATATGCTGTTTCAGAAATTTTTGTAAAGTGTCTTTCAGTACCTGCAATGAACCTACTGTTGTCCCATTCATATAGTTCCAAAACACCATCTTGCACTTGGGCCCAGTCAGAGAAATTACTGGAGTGATAAGGTCAGCTGTGTGTCTAAATTCTCCATTCGAACTGTCAGCATACAGATACCAGCCTTCCTTAGTAGCCCTATGGAGGCAGAAATTGAGACACATAAAATTATTTATATGCCAGAAAAACCAAATAATTTTCAAATACATAAAAAGAAATCTGTGAGCTTTTTAAAATGCTGTAACCAATGAAATTACTGAAAATTTTTAAATGCCTAGACAGCTAAAAACAAACAAACCCTAGACAGCGAACAAAAAAGGCTGATGCTGAGCTTGTGCTTTGCAATGGGTTCTTAAATAAAACTACACAAATGTGACATTTATACTTCTATATAGAGGCATGACTGCATTGATTCGCCAAATGGCTTGTGCTGTCACAATTCTGATAGCATTCTCTCTGAAGGAAGTGCCAAGGAAAGTTTATCCCACTAACCTGCATTTTAGTTCCAATAGCAGTTCAGAGATTACTGCTATATATCAGATGCATGCAAAATGAAATTAGGATAGAATGTGATGGTTTCAAAGCTTAACTTTATACAATCACTGTTGCTTAAATGAATGCATATGTTTTATCTGAGGCTGGGAGGTAAACTTCAAGTAATGTCTGTTGTAATTGTAGCCTAATTATAATATAAGCCTGAGGGCAGTAAAAATTTGATTTATGCTTATACAATAATATGAATCATAATACCTTCTCACTTTCTTAGGACAAGTACTATGACTACAAGAGGAATCATTACTCATTCAATTCAATTGTACTCTATAGGCAAATCTATTTTATTTAGCTGTTGTATAATTCCAAGGGCCAATTTCATGATGAAGCCAACATGAGCTACATTTATGGAATGCATTTGATTACGTCAGACACATCTTATGATTGATCTAATCTATTTCCAAGATATATCAAGGTCAGGTTAAGAATTCTGAATAATCTTCTAAAAGAAAATTGAATACCGAATTTTAATCTAGTGACACATTTGAGCATTCACAAAACTGATTTAACATGTCAAAACTGAGGGGGAATGTGATTGCAAGACAGCTTCACTGCATAAAAATAATCATCTGAACAAATTTGATCTGACAAGGTACAAAAGATGGCCAGGGACAGAAAACTAAAGTGCAGATTCTCACTTATAGCCAAACTCCATTATGCTTTGGCATCTAACAAAATTGTTGAGTATGTGGAGGGCTTTTAAAGTTCTATACATTGAGTTGTATTAAATTCTCATCACCCTTGTCCAAACAGAACTTCCTTACAATTTTTGTTCCCCATCCAACATCCTATTATTCCCAAGGGTCCCCACCCCATCATTCAGGGTTGGCTTTCCAAGGTGGAAGCAGGAAATATTCATTCTGAGAAGCTGGGGGCTGGGCTCACTAGGGTCCTGTTTGCAGTGCCATGGGGAGGGGAGAGAGCGAGGGTGGCCATGGCAGTCCTTGCTGGGTGGAGGGGGCAGGCCCATTGTTTTGGAACAGCCAGCTCTAGTTCTGATGGAGACTCGGTTCACATTCCTACTTAGAGATGAAGCTCTGGGCAAGCTATCACTATATTACAAAACGTAATGAAAACCCACAACTTTAACACTACATGAAAAAGCCTTCGAGAATTTTGAGTTCACCTGCGTTTCCTCCCGCTCTCATACACCTGCGCATGGTGATCCAATGAAAGTTTCTGTTTCACAGCCAGCCATCATTTGCCATTATGTGCAAAATATAAGCTATAGTTTGCTTTCTTTCCTACAAAGCAGAAGCAGTATTTCACATTCTGCTTTGTACAGAACAGAAAAAAACTATTGTTTGCGAGTAATGATAAAATACAGTTTGATACAGAAGCAAAACTCATTCATTAGTTCACCAAGCATGAGGAAGAGAAGGGAATGTGCAAGCTGAAGAATCCCATATATATGGTTTATCATTAAATGTGAACCAGTCTTTCAACCCAATCTTTCTCACAATGACGAGAAATGAGGTCAGAATTGTAAAATATTTTATAAGTGCTATAAAATATAGATCAGAATAATAAAAAGTGCTATAAAATATCTGCTTGAGGTCTCATTAGGCTAGTGTTAAGTAATAACCCACCCACCCCGTGTTACAGCAAAGCTGATATTTAATGCCTACTAGGAATGGGCACAAACCAGCTCACAAACATTTCTTTGTGATGAATTTTGACCAGTTAGTGGTTCGTGAACTGAAGTTCACAAACTGCAGTCTGGCCACAAGCCTTTACCGACTTTTAAGGCAGTTTATAGAGGTTCATCTCTCTCATGTATTGCTGCCTTGACGTGGTGAGGGGGCTTGTGTGGTTCGATGTGGCTGCGGGCTTTGCCATGGAGGGCCACCTAGGATGGACAAGCTACAGTGGAGAACTCAGACAAAACATGAAATTAAGAAAACTCCTGAGGACAGCGGAAGACAGGAGGGCCTGGCATGATGTGGTCCATGGGGTCATAAAGAGTCAGACTTGACTGTGCGACTGAACAGCAACAACAAACCCCTGTTTTCTCCTCCCCACAAAAGCCTCTAAAAGATTGGAAACAGCTGAGCCATGGAGGCAGCCTGCACCCATGGCTTAGCTGTTTAAAGGAGATTTCTTGGGCAGTCAGCCCCTTTAAACAACTGAGCCATTAAAGCAGGCTGCCTCTGCAGATCAGCTATTTAGAGCCAAAAAAACCTGAGCCATGGAAGCAGGCTGCTCCTGCAGATTACCTGTTTCAAGCACAAACCTCATTAATCTGATTCAGTTCATATGCGAGCCAACTGAGTTTGTGGGGGTCATTGTTCAGTTCATGGTTCGCCCATGAACTGAATTGTATTTTTGTGGTTCATGCCCATCTCTAATGCTAATAATGAGGTATAGATAAGGGTTTTTTCTGTACAGATCTTGGGCACCCCCAGGATTGCAGAAAAGTAAGAAAAAAACATTTTTAGAGAGATATCAAGACCTCATAATGCTACAAGATCTCAGATGCCATTTTGACAGAGATGAGCTGCTGTCCTCTGCCGTGTGAGCCACATGGGTATGCTAGGAAAGACCAGGAGCTGCTGCTGCATGAGCCAGGTGGGCAGGTAAGAGGGAACCACTGTTCCCAACACTGGCACTACAGGCAGGTAAGAAGGAGCAGGAGCTGCCACTCCCCCACCCCCTCTGCTGCTGGTGCTGCAAGCAGGCACACAGGGGAGGAGGTGGGTGAGGGAGATAGAAGGTGAGGCAGGCATGCAGTGATGCTGCAAGCAGGCTGGTGGGGAAGGAAGGACCAGGGACTGATGTCCCTCCGCTGCTGCAACTGCCAAATGAACCAGGAAGGCAAAGAAAGCACTACTGCAGGTGAGTGGGCTAGCCAGTGAATGGGATAGATTCCTCTCCCCACAAGTTTGGAAGGTCCCCCAGTTGTACATGTGTAAGCAGAGACTTTTTCTCCCATTTAGTTCATTGTCATCTAGAATCACAGAGTCATAGAGCTGGAAGGGGTCTCCAGGGTCATCTAGTCCAACCCCCTGCACAATGCAGGAAGTTCACAAATACCCCCCCACACACACACACACACAATCCTAGTGACCCTTGCTCCATACCCAGAAGATGGCAGAAAACCTCCAGGATCCCTGGCCAAACTGGCCTAGAGAAAATTGCTTCTTGACCCCAAAGTGGTCATCAGCATTTCCCTGGGTGGGAAAGAAAGGGCCATGAGAACTAAGCACTGAGGCAACCCTGCCTAAGTTCACAGAATCAGCATTGCTGTCAGATGGCCATCTAGCCTCTGTTTAAAAACCTCCAAAGAAGGAGAGCCCACCACCTCCCAAGGAAGCCTGTTCCACTTTTTTCGCTCTGTTAGGAAGTTCTTCCTAATGCTTAGCCAAAAACTATTTTGATTTAATTTCAACCCTTTGGTTCTGATACAGCTCAAACTGGCATTTGCCTTTTTAGCTACCACATCACACTGCTGACTCACGTTCAGTGTATGGTCTACTATGATCCCTAGATCCTTTTTTCACATACTAATGCCAAGACAAGTCTCCCCCATTCTATAATTATACCTTTTATTTTCC